TGGGCTCAAGCATAACAACTGTGAACCTTTATAAATGCTAACTGCCTATTTTTCCCCATTGAGCAGCTGGTAGCTTCAAACGGCTGACCTTTTGGTTAGCAGCCCATCATTTAATCTATACTGTGTCACCAGGACATGTGAAGTTGGTATAATCATTTAAAAATTGTCGACCCTTTTAAGTAAAATACTCATTTTTGAAACCTGCTTTTGAGGAATCTAGAAATGAAATATTACTTTGTTCAAACAGAAAACCATTAATTGAAAAAAAAAAATTCAACTCTGTTCTTTTCCTTTGTAGGTTATTATGTCTGGATAGGAGCTCAGCAAGCTTTTCCTCATTTAGACAGCAGGGCTTATCTGAATAGTTCTATGTGTCACTGCTCAGGCAGTGGCTGTCGTCTTCAATTCTATTACTCTATGGAAAAGAGTGTTCTGAGAGTAGGAGTGTATCATCATAAGGTAAGAAGACACTTGCATTTATTTCAAATTCATTGAATAAATGAGATGTCTATTCTTGATCACTTGCATTTCTATCATTCACACACAGTTCTGTATTGCTGTAGGTATTCTTTAATTTGACTCTGTCTCGTCTACATTTACAAAAAAATATTTAAAAGTCAGTTTAGAGGATACTGTCCTATATAAAAGTTAACATTATAATTTGTACAATATTATTTCATAAAACTCAAAATTCATAAAGGTATGTTAAAGAAACTATATTGTTATTGTGTGCCATTGAGTGACTTTGACCCAAAGTGATTCTGTAAAGGGCTTCCAAGGCTGTATATCTTTAAGGCAGCAGAAAGTTTCATCTTTCTCCTTGGAGTGCTGGGTGATTTGAACTGCTGACTGTGGTTAGCAGGTCAAGTTGTAACCCACTCCACCACCAGGGCTCCTAAAGAAACTATGCTGTCGTTGTTAAGTGACCATGAGTTAGTTCTGACTCATAGAGACCCCGCATAGGGTGTCCAAGGAGCAGCAGGTGGGTTTCAACTACCGACCTTGTAGTTCATAGTTCAGTGCTACAGCACCACACCAGGAGTCCAAAAGAAACTATAGGTCTAACAAAAAAGGAGAAATGTGGTATTCTGTAATGATAGCTCTGCATTGAAGATCTGATGTGATCCCCTTGGGATTTTAGATCTGAGTATCATGATCGTAGTATATGATGGTAATAAACTACTTGTTCTGGAATCGGTATTTACAGTTGGTTGTTTTTGTGTGCCATAGAGTCAATTCTGGCTTATAATGGACCTATAGGATCCAATAGAATTTCTCATTAGAAATTCTAGACTGTAACATTTTAGAGCCAAAACATGACCCAGAACATATTCCATCTAAATTTAGAGATAATCTGAAGAGCAGATTTGATGCATTAGACACTAAAGAGCAAAGACCAGAAGACTTGTGGGGTGACATCAAGAATATCATACATACAGCAAGAAGCAAAAGGTCATTAAAAAGACAAGAAAGAAAGGAAAAGACGGAAATTACTGTCAGAAGAGATTCTGAAACATGCTCTCAAGTGTAAAGATGCTAAAGCAAATTGAAGAAATGAGGAGGCAAAGGAGCTGAATAGAAAATTTCAAAGGTCAGCCTTAGAAGACAAAGTCAAGTATAATAACAAAGTATACAAAGATCTAAGGAGCTCTGGTAGCATAGTGGTTACGAATCAGGCTGCGAGCTGCAAGGTCAGCAGTTTGAAACTACCAGCTGCTTTGCAGGAGAAAGATGAGGCTTTCTGCTCTCATAAAGATTTACAACTTAGGAAACCCTATGCAGGGTCACTATGATTACTCCACGGCAAGTAACAACAACAACATACAAAGATCTAGAGTAAAAACTAAAACAAAAGGGAAG